ACACCTGCAATTCAGTACATGTTATACAGTGATTTAGTGGTGAATTTCCTCATGAGAGCCTATATAGCCACTTTATCAAATAGAGTAAAAAATACAGGGGCGAATGTGCCAAACTGCTCTAGACTAAGTTACTTTCCTTTAAAACAACAGCGGCTCACAATGCTATAGTGTTGTTAGGAAAATCTAATCCACCATTACATACTGTGAGGATTGGGGTAGGAGGTTATATAATTATTCCTGCTACTTAAAAAGTCTCTATGCACTCTGTCTGTACCACAATGCTATTAAATTAACCCTAAACTTAATGGAGTAGGACTGACTTCCCAGGAAACATGCTTACAATCAGCCTATCCATCACTCAGTCTCTAACATAATCATGGAATTGAAAGAAATCTAACAGGTCAGCTGGTTTTGTCCTGAAACACACTGGATGGTTTACTGCATTATTCAGTTGCCTGCCGTGGTAATAATAGCCATTCCATTTTGTTGGTCAATAATATTGCCACAGTGCTAATAAGAATACATTAGAGGTGGGGCTTAACTGGCAGTTATGCCCCACGTCTGTCATAATGACCCAATGTGGTACAGTGGATCGCGTCGTTGTCTTGTAAGAGCTTGAGATTCATGTTCCCACTGAACCATGTCACAAACAGTAATCATGATAATCTTTTGTAGGGAAAATAATGAAGCACTTTAAATATTAGGTTTTATTGGAATAAACTCAAAATCATATATCCTATAAAGCTTTTTGGGTGTTAAGGTGCCAGAAGATTCTTCATTATTTTGGAATGGTAAAAGCCTCATACACTTGAGTAAAACCAGTAAGGTCAAGGCACTGGTAGATATAAGCATTACAAACAGAGACATAGAATAAGATTGTACTGAAACTGAGGTTAGGCATCTTACCTGCTGTTTTACACTTGATCTTTTGTCTGTCTGTCTGTCTATCTGTCTGTCTATCTATCTGATTTATGTACTCCTGTATTAGTGCAAGCACTATACATGATTAAAACTTACTGTTCCCCACAATTACAAAAAATATATTCAAGAACAATACAGCAATGCAACAGACAATAATTATAACAATAAAAATGAATAACTGTTTAATAATCTAGAATTAATAAAAAAAATTAGTCTTCTTGTCCTTATTATGACCCTGTACATCATACGTGAGAAATATCCAGATAATGAACAAATTACTTGGATGTAACATGACTATTTATTACAAGTAAACATGCCTCTGTTGTTGAGATTTGATATAAACACTTCACAACATAAGAAAATGAGTATGATAAGCAGTACATTACAAAAAAACTGTAAAAACATCAGGAGCTCTGCAAAAAGAAGTGGTAATCTAATGATATTTCTGTTTCCAGATCTTCTGTAAACAGGCAGAAAAGAATGAAAAGGCTAGAAAGAAATAAGTCTCTTAGAATACTTAAATCAGTGGTTTAGGTACCATGTTTTCCCGAAAATATTAATTTTTGGTCCAAAAAAGCATTAGGGCTTATTTTCAGGGGATGTTTTATTTTTTTCATGTAAAACAATCTACATTTATCCTGAAAAATCATACTAGGGCTTATTTTCAGATTAGGTCTAATTTTTGGGAAACCGTATATCTGGCTGTGTATCCAGAGGTTGGCAATTCAATTCCCCACTGTGCCTCCTTGACAGGGGCTGGACCTCTTCCAGCTGTACAGTTCTAAGATATTGTTTGAAGAGCAATGAGCAGATGACATTTTTGATCTTAAAAACTGTCTTTTGCTCTGTGATGTTTTTCTAAAAAATGAATTAACTTGGAGCAGACCACCATTGTGGACCAGGCCAAGAAGAAGAAAAGCAAACCCTGTTTTTTGTTTCAATTGCAGTGATAAAATGTTTCCAGTCTACGGTTTTGGAGCCAGGATACCCCCGGACTATAAAGTAGGTACACTATACAGGTGAATCTTCCTTGTTCTCTTGGTGCACAGATTGCAATAGGGTGTTGGAGAAAGAATATATGAATAGACAGAACATGGAAAGCTTAGAGGCAGCTGGTGATAAAGGAGAAGGACTCAGCAAGAGAGAGGGATGAGTGAGTGGCAGAATCAATTCTGGGATCAATTGAGTGTTTTGCAGCTCTTTGACTTCTCCGCAGAAGCAACATCAATGTTTTGCCAATGAAGAGAATAGAAGGCTTTTGGCTGTTAACATAACATTACCATATTACAGAGTCCTCATGCTATTCAATTTTCCCTCATTATTGGGGGGGGGGGGATATTTTTCAAAAATTACCATATTACAGAGTCCTCATGCCATTCAATTTTCCCCCATTATTGGGGGGGATATTTTTCAAAAACAGCACTTTTGAAACATAGGCATCCAACCTAAATATGAAAAGGATGACATTTATATAATTGATAAGAGGAATCACTTTGGGAGATATGTTTAAACTAAGACAACTCTGGCTTGGGAACAAGGTATAAGGACTGGCCAGAATTTGACTAAGGTGGTGGGGTATATAAAGTGGGAAGGAAGGTAGAAAGGAAACATACATTTTGATGCATTGACTGGGCAGTTTAGTTAATTAGAGCCAACCTAGACTATATGTTTAATCCATATTTAGAAATAGTACTCCCAGAAGTTTTGAATGGTATCGTTTCTTGTTCTAGCCCAAGCATTTCTCACTTCTATAGCTTACTGTGTTTTCTTTATGATTGGTCACTGGGTGGTATACATGTACTTAACACAGAAGTCTGATTGCCCAATATTTTCTTGTATCTGGAGAAATTGTATGGGGAGGGGGAGGAGAGAGCAGGCTAACCACAGGGAATATGCATTTATCCTAACAATTGATGGTTATGTGAATATAGACTTAAAAATAAAGCCCTTATTAAGGGTTGGCTTGGCAAGATAGCATCTTTGGGGCCTCACCAGTGTGCCTCATGGACCTGCCCTCCCTCTTCACCATTGCTGGATGCTTTATCATCCACCTCTTGTTCTGCCCAAAGAATGGCAATAGTGAGAAGGAGCAGCAGCTAGAATCACTAATTTGCTATTTGTCTTTCTCTGCCAGGCAAACAGGCAGGTGATAACAATGAAGGAGATGCTGGGAGGGAAGCAAGGAACAATGGCAGTCATCAAGGGAAGGTGCCCATTAGGAATGTGTCCAACAAAACCTGGAGCTGGCACTAGTAGAAAAGCTCCAGATTGATAGCTGAACTCTGCCATTATTGAGTGTACACATTAATGACTGGATTGGTGACAGAGACCAGATTCTAGATTGTAATACTGACTAGAATGGGCCCATTGAATCAGTGTGATTTCCCTAAATGCTGACTCATCATTCAGTAATTATTCAAATAGTCTACTCTAACTGGGACTGCCAACTGGATTTAGATCTGGTATTTTAATAAGTGGTTGGCAGAGGCTGAAATCCTGTTGCTTTGCTTAGTAAGAATTCAAATAGTCTACTCTAACTGGGATTACCAACTGGATTTAGATCTGGCATTTTAATAAGTGGTTGGCAGAGGGTGAAATCCTGTTGCTTTGCATAGTAAGTTGTAACTAACTAGAGTAGGCTCATTGAATCAGTGAGGATTTGCTGAATTGGCTCCCCCATACATAGAGTTGATTCACCAGGCCTACTCTAATTGTGACTTAAGTACAGTAACCGGATTTCAGTCATTAAGATTGTTTTGACTAGAAATGTACAGTTAGAATGGAAAAATACAGCAATGTTGTTTTCAGCAATGTCTCTAAACACAAAAAAAATCACACCCAACAAAGAATTGCCCACTGAAATATTCTTGTTTCCAATTACAGAGGAAATCTTGTGTTTTTTCTATCATGATTTAAAATAAATGAAGAAAAATGGGTTGCCAGACATAGTTCTTTTTAAAAACCTGACAAAGTCGCTTGAAGAATAAATGTGTTCATACATCATGATTTAAAATACAGTAAATTAAGATAAACGGGTTGCCAGACATAGTTCTTTTTAAAAACCTGACAAAGTCGCTTGAAGAATAAATGTGTTCATATTTCTGATCATAAGACACACATATGGAAAGATATATGCTAGCCTAATAACACTGAGTATTTAATTATAAGGCTGAAGTCATTGCCAAAAAGCACTCACAGAAGACGTAAGCCTGGCCACAATTTAAGTCAAGGTTACATATACACTGGGTAAGCTTGCCTCAAAATGGGAAGGTAGAGAACAGCAATTATGATGCGAGATATTACTGTATTTTTTGCACCATAAGACTCACTTTTTCCCCACAAAACAGGGGTGTGGAAAGTCGGTGCGTCTTATGGAGCGAAAAATACGGTAATTTTTCCAATCTCCTATCAGTAAAAGATAAAGAACAGCAACTAAACACAGGGCAGATACTCAGTGCTTGATACACAATACAATTTCCACAAGGGGAAATGAATAAATAAATGCATGCTTTGAAACTGTTTTTCAAGTGAATGTCTGGACAGCGGTATCCTATTTGAACTATTTGTTTGCATCTGGGCAGAGACTGAATCAGTTTTCTGAACTAAAACTGTGTCTGATCTTTTTTGGGGGTGATCCACAGGTCTCTCATGATTTTGCAATCAATTTTAATGAAGACAACCCAGAATGTGCAGGTAAGAGTATTGTTGTGGTAAACAAGCTGACTCTGAAGGCTTGCTTTTTTTCTTTTCTTTTTCAGTTTTAGAAGATATAGCCATGTTGGTCTGTGCAGGCATATCAGGCAAAATCCAAAGGAAAAAAGAACAGCAGCGACAAAAGACAAAAAATATGTGGCATCTTAAAGACTATTATATTTTAATGTGAGCTTTCGTGGATCAAGGGTACTTCTTCAGATATGTGGAATAAAATGAAATACAGAATGAAATAGAGAATTCACAAGTATAACAGCTTTTTTGTTTCAGTCATTCATTCATCAGTCTAAGATAAATTATGACTAAACCTCAGGTAACAGGTGAACAGATAACTATTATATAGAGAAAAATCTATGCAGAATGTAAGGTTCAGTGCTTGACATCTCTAGGTAGGGTTGGACAAAACTCTTGCATCAAACCTTGGAAATTGAAACCTTTGAACTTTCAGATGTTTTGGACTTTGCCCAAGGCAAAGCATTAGAGGTTATTATCCAAAACATCTGGAGAGTCAAAGATTCTGCACAATATAGATAATACCGACATCAACAACATTGAGCTAGATTGTATGACTTGGTGTAATGGCAGCTTCCTATGTATTATTTTAATTGTGTTGAACATGAGCTCCATTGAGCTCTCTGGGAAACAGTTGGACATATTAAATGAGATGTGAAATCCCATAATCTTGGGAGAAATTATTCCATGAGATTCAAGGTTTTTTATTTTTCAGATATGCCCAGATAGCTTGATATGTATTCTTGCTTAGAATAGACTGTTTTAACGCCATTCTGGCTAACGGCTTTGCTTCGCTATAAGCAATTACTTGACTAAGAGCAGCAAGAGGGAAAGAAATACTGTTGAGTTATTACAACCTAATAATTAAAATCTATAGGGCTGACATTATGAGCATTTTCTGGTGACCGAATGATTTCATAAAGCCTCTGATTGCATTTCCAAAGTGTGTTAAAGTCCTACAGGGTGGATAATATCTGCAAAATGCATAGTTCGATGCTGCTAGCAAGAGGGAAAGCTGGGCTCATGAATTATATATTGCATAACATCTAAAAGAGGTCAGGTCAGCAGGGGAGAGCAGCTTTGAACAAATCCTTCAGAGCCACAGCTGTGCAGAATAAATTGGCAGGATAGTAGCGCACTTGTGTGACTTAAATTGCAGGAATCACGTTCTTTTAAAAAGTGTTGGGGAGGGAGCAGTGCTCTCTACAGGGCTGGCCATAACCTTAGCTAAGGCAGCAAACCGAGGGGAGGGGGGCGGAAGCGGGCAGGAAGCCACAGTGAGGTTCTGGAAGACTGAATTAATCCAAAGGTCTCTCCTGCACCTCCAAAGCTAGCCTGCAGCTTTCAAGTGCAGCAGAAGATACTGTTCCACCACCAATGGTCAAGTGAGATTCAGTGGACAGTCTATAGGTGGAACAGGCAGACCTCTGTCCTTCATCTGAGGCAACAACATGCCTCAGAGCAAAGTAGATCGCTTCCATTGAATCACCTCCTTCACTTATCTGGAAGCTGAGTCTTTCTTATTAGGCTGAAACACTTCACTACTCATCCAAGTTGCTTCTTCTACTCTCCCAAGTACTGAAAGATTTCACTCTAATAAGAAAAAAATCCACCTCACCTAGATGACAGAATTTTCACAGATACACCTCCTTCACTTCTTTTTAATGACTGGTTTCAATGCTGTTTGTCTTTCCCCTTCTTGTACTTCGGCTTCTTGTGCTTGTCTTGTGCTTCTGCTGCTCTTCCTCCTCCCCATTCCCAAGGGATCCAAGGAGTAGTTGAAGCATATCAGAATTGCCTCCCTAAGCTTCAACTTTATGGTCCTACAAACATCGCTCCCATCATCCAGAAGGTGGCTAAATCAGCATCAGAAGAAATCAACACTAAGGAGGCATCGGTGAGAATGGAGCAGAGGGCAACTTAAAGTAGACCTCTTTTTGTTGCAGCACTGGCTGCATCCTCAAGAACACATGGATTAGATTTATACTTTAACTGTTATTATATGTTCCCCTTTTAAGTGATTAAAGCATGGAGTATTTCAATGCTTGCTTTGGTTATAAATTTTAGATTTTGAATGGGGAACCAGATGTGGTCTGTGTGACACAATTCAGTGTTTATGAAATAATGGCTGAAACCAGATGTGGTCTCTGTGACTTCTTCACAATTCAGTGTTTATGAAATAATGGCTGAAATTTAGTTAGTGTAACTTTATGCCATGCAACAAAGACAAGGTAATCACCTGGCAATGTTACTCTTTGTTTAAATTTAATTTAAAACTTTCTACCTTCTGCCCACATCCTGAGGTTCCCAAGGGCTTCCCCTGGGGCAAAAGGGATCCCTAGGGAGCCTCAGATAAAACTTTATACCTTCTGCCCAAATCCTGAGGTTCCCAAGGGCTTGCCCTGGGCAAAAGTGATCCCTAGGGAGCCTCAGAATCTGAAGGGAATCTATGGCAGGATTCGTGGATAGCAAATGCATTGTATTTAATCCCTCCCCAGTTAAGACCATATCAGAATAACCATGAGGAGGGTGCCAAAGATTTTCTGAAGCATGCCTTGCTAAATACCTTCTGCCCAAATCCTGAGGTTCCCAAGGGCTTGCCCTGGGCAAAAGTGATCCCTAGGGAGCCTCAGAATCTGAAGGGAATCTATGGCAGGATTCGTGGATAGCAAATGCATTGTATTTAATCCCTCCCCAGTTAAGACCATATCAGAATAACCATGAGGAGGGTGCCAAAGATTTTCTGAAGCATGCCTTGCTAAAAATTTAATAATATTTTGATTTTCCTTTTCAAACTCCTCTAGCAATATTTCATCTTGCTGATCCTGACGGACGGTGTAATCACAGACATGGCCGACACACGTGAAGCCATTGTTCATGCTTCCCATCTCCCCATGTCAGTCATCATTGTTGGAGTTGGAAACGCCGATTTCAGTGACATGCAGATGCTAGATGGGGATGATGGGATCCTGAGATCTCCTAAGGGAGAGCCTGTGCTGCGTGACATTGTCCAGTTCGTTCCATTCAGAAACTTCAAGCATGTAAGATTAACTTTTCTTGTGTTCCCTTTTTTGGAAGGTATTTTTTAAGCTGGGGATTCTAACGGTGTGTCTCTAAACTAGTATTCATGGCTAAAGGTTAAAGTACACATGATCAGGTCATCTTCAACACTGGATCATTCGGAGGTATTCAGCTTCGACTCCTGGTCAATGATCAGGGATTCTGAGAGGTGAAATCCATAACATCTGGAATACTAAAGGTTGAGGAGGACATCCTTGGACCCAGGGGTATCAATGTTTGTTGCTTTAGTGCATGTTGCACCAGTTGTGGGTGTGGGTAGTTAAAAAGAATAGAGCAGAAGGGAAATGTAACCCATTCCTTCCCTGTGATCCATAGGAAATTCCCTCTTCTGAACCATTTCCTGGAGCAGGACAGAGACAGGGTGGTGGTGGTGGGGATCTCCATTGGTAAATAAAGCTATAATCATATACACCAGAGTGAGCCCTCTTGAACTCAGTAATGCCTCCTCTGGTGTGAATATACATAGGATTGTGCTGTCAGTAATACAAGAAAATGTTTCTGCAATATCAAATAGGAAAAGTGGTCAGATATTCCAAAGAAAGAACTATCTGACCAGGAAAGTTTTAAAGGTACAGAATGTTGGAATTGATTGGAAAGTGTCAAACCAGTTCTTAGTCATAGTAATTAATAATCCTAACATGAAGAGTGTGTTTTTCTGTGAGCCCTGCCAGCCCTGTCCATCTCAAGAGGGCATTTCTTTTCCATTCTTTGATACTTCAACTCGTAACACAAGACTCATTTGGACTTATTGAAACTTACAGAGGGGTAACATCTAATGCATATATAATCTGTTTAGAGTCTTTGGTTCTAATTACACTCACAGGTCCACAGTCTGGTTTCTGTGTCTTGTCCCTCACTTCCCTTCACCAAGAGGGGTTCAGGTTCTTGAGTGAGCCCACTTCCCATCACTTTGCTCTCAGCTAGCCCAGCCACTTTGGCACCAGTGTTGGGGTATCTTACGTACTGCACTGCTCCTAAGATTGCCTGCAACAAGGGCAGGTATGTTGAGGACCTTTTCCAGAGACTCTTGCCTGCCATGGCTTCCCGGTCTCTTCTCCTTCCTCTCTTCCTGACGTGGATGTTCATATTGCTGTTTCCTTCACTGGTTTCTCCTGGTTTCACCTTTCACCGTCTCCTTTTCTCCCTTAAGTACAATGGGTGGGATGGAGGCTTTGGGTTCTTGTACTTTCCTCCCCTCTCCTTTGGGGATCCAGAGCTGGACCAAAAAACCTGTCCAGGGATCTTCTTTGTAAATATAGTCCCATTCCTCTGTGGCTTCTCTTCTGAGAAGTCCTCTGCCCAGAATGTCCCAGACCACTCCTCCTGGGCATCCCCTCAAGCCCCTTCTTCTTCCCCAATGGCCTCTGGTTCCCTTTCCATGGGTTCCTCCACTGTGCCCTTGTCTGTTTCTCCTCTTCTGCCTCCCTCTTCTTTCTCTAGATCTTGAGATCCCTTGGCGGGCACTGTTGACTGGGCTCTGGGTTGGAATGTGACAGCTCACTGACAGGGACATCTATGCTCCTATCCTCTTCAGATACCCTTGTTATGAAACAGCACCTTGAACAATCCACATCTGAAACTTTCTTAGAGGAATTTTTGCTTGAATTGCTAATTGCTTTGCACAGTTTTTCGGTGGAAGCCTAATGCATTGGAAAACCACTGAACAAAGAATTATTGGTAAGCTGGAGTTGTAAGGATAACTTTTAGGTTGAAGTTCCCCTATCCCCACCCTCTCTAGTTCAGTGCATACCTTTCTGTAGGCAAATGTACATCATGTGGATGAGTTTGGATGTAGAAGGTAAGATAACTAAAGACAGTATCAAAGAATGGAAAGATAGCTCAAGTGACTTAACTGTGACTATCATGTAGGCATCCTTTAGTCTCGAGAGACTATGGTAACGTGCTCTGAATAGAGAATTTGGAACAGTGTCTAGTGTGGCTGAGAAGGCCAATTTGAGAGTGACACTCCCTTCCACACTGAAGACAAATACAATCTGTCCCCTGTCCAGCTCCCTGGTTTTGCTGGTTTCGGGACTGCCTCTTTGCCTTGGCCTGCTGGACAAGTGTCTCTTCAAAATTGGAGAGGCCATGATGCACCACCTGCCTCCAGGCTGAATGCCCAGATGTCAGGGTTTCCCATCTTTTGAGGTCCATTCCTAAGGCCTTCAGATACCACTTGCTGGTATCCTTGTATTGTAGCTGTGCTCTCCCTCTGGGGCACTTTTCCTGCACTGATTCTCCATACAGGAGATATTTTGGAATCTGACCATCAGCCATTCTCACGACATGCCCAAGTGACTATCATACTTTCGCCTTATCATAGGAAGGCCTACTGGGGGGAAAATCAATATAATGCTGGGAAAATATTAAGCTGGTAGGAAAAGAGGAAGACAAAATGTGAGATGATTTGACCCAGAAGAAGAAGAAGAAGCCATGGTCTTAACTTACAAGGCCTTGGTAAGGCTGTTAATAATGAGACCGTCTGGAGGTCATTCATTCACAGGATTGCCATGTTGGAAGTGGCTTGACAGCACATGGCGACAATATAGCCTTATATGCAATGAATTCATTAGGACTGACTTCAGACTGAGTTGATATAGGATTACTGTTAGTGGGTTATGCAAAGATACACAAGAACAGGAAACTAATCATAAAGCTCTGTCTAGCTTCAGACACATGCAATTGAGTTTTGGACTTCCCCAATTCCTATTTCTCATTACTTTCCCTCCAGCCCTCATAATGCTACACAACAGATAAGAAGAAGCTGCTTCATGTGGTAGTCTGCAGTGCAGGGGGCTGACAAGGAAGTGGGGCGAAAGCCCACATGGGCTGCTCTTGGAAGATGTCTTTGCCTCATTCCAGGGCTTTCCCTTCCCTTGGCATTACTGCCTACTGCAAGAAGATTCCCAAACCCCTTGTATAACAGTTTCAGGTGGCTGGAAAGGATGATGTAGAGACAATAGCAGGTCTCATTTGGATATTTCTAAATCTAAAATTAGTCCGTGATGAAAGGTAATAAAGTAGGAACAATTTAATATCCCCTCTATTTTCTTCCTGTCCACCTGCTGTAAAAGGAGGAGCTATTCTTCAGCTACTGGACTCGCTGGAGGAGTGACACGGGATTCTTTGACCCACTTTAGCATCCATGTACTGGAATTCACTGTTCCTCTGTGGGAGTGAGGGCAGGCTGGGCTGGGGATATGGCACTGCTCTGCATTCGAGTATAGGAAACCAAAACAGGTACTTGGAAACTCCTCCACTGACTCCCATCTTTGTAGCACATGGCAGGAGCTAAGAAACCATTTGGATCCAGATTTAAGTTATATATAGAGAAATCCCAAGGAAAACAATGGAATTTAATAGAATCATGGCAAGTTGAAGTGGCACCGAATTCAATTAGTTTACTCTTCACTAGTAAAGTGTGGATCCAACTCAGTGAATAAATCAGCAAAGTCCTTGAGAGGACAAAAAGAGGAGCCAGTCACTGTCTTAGGCGATAGTGGCTGGGGAGTCAGCCATACAAAGGTGCTGCCAGCATATTGCTTTCAGGCCCTATGATATGTCACTTCAAAGAAAGCAAATACACGGTAGAGTTTTACAGCTCTTATGTCCTAATCTCCTGCTTCTGCAGTTTTGGTACTGAGCAACTTTCATCCTAGAAAGAAAGTAGCTGTCATCTTTTATCGTCTGTAAAAATTTGCATATTAAAGGCTGCTAGCTTTCTTAGTGATGCTGCAAATCACATTTAATCAAAAGTAAATTCAGTGGGATTTATTTCTGCATTTATTTAGGATGGAAATACAAATGTCCATCCTAACAATTTTTTAAAAAACACACATCTAATCTTCATTGTTTGTAGTTGTCTAATTTTCTACTGTATTATTTTACATTTTCATTTAAATACTTCAGTGATTAACAATGAATTCATTGTGTCTGCAACTCTAGTTTATCTGGGAGTACATTCCATTGAACCCAGTCAATGTTTCCTCCGATTTGATATGTGTAAGATTACGTTGTAAAGCATCATTCAACAATGGAGAGGAAGACCATTTTAAAAAACACCTAGATGATGTTTTTCTATTCCATATCTCCCAGCTTTACTCTGTGGAGGTTGCTTCCCCTACCTGAAATGTTTGTATTGTTGTTTTTTTTATTATGTGGTGTCAAGTCAGAAATGACTTCTTGTGATTCTGATAGAGCTTTCAAGGTAAGAGATATTCAAGGAATAGTTTGACTAGTTCCACTCTCCCAGTAAGGTTCCAGGGCTGAGCGGGATTAGAACCCAGGCAGAGTCAGTTGCTCTGTCCACTAATCCACTCTTTGTATTAGAGATGGGCATGAAGTACTTTGTTCCCCTTTCTCTAAGCCATCTGCACAGCAGCACAAGTTCTCTGTGTTCCCTTCCCCCACCCTTCTTGCCAGTACCTCCATTCACCAGCCAGCATGCATTGCTGCTCCTTCCCTCCCTGCTGTATGACCTTCTAGTCTGGGGAAAACCCTGGACTTCACTTCTCTGCCTCCTCCAGCAGCTGGCCACTTAAACAAGGAGGCGGGGCAGGTATTCTTACTCCACTGCTTTTGAGTGGCCAGCTGCCAGAAGAGGCAGAGAAGGGGAGTCTGGGCTCCTGCCCAGACTGGAAGATTGCGTGACAGGGAGGGAAGAAGCAATGTGCACCAGTTGGTGAGTGGAGGTGGCAGTGAGGGGAGTGGAGGAGGGGAACATATGGCAGCTATGCAGACAATGTAGGATGAAGGAGCACGAAGTACTTCATGCCCATCTTTACTTTGTATTGTTAGCAAGTGATAAACTGCTAATTGTTACAGTTCAAGTAGTTACCCAGGAACTAGTATTATATATTCAGTGTTGAATTTACATGTTTTCTAGTTAATAAAATTGAATAGGCATAGATACTCACTATCCAGTGGTATTGTTCAGTGTTACAAATGATTAAATACCTTTGAATTTTAATAAGACTGTGTTAGGTCACAGTGCAAATGCAAATGCTCTATACTTATCCAGAATGTTCAGCAAATGACTAAAATAGAAGAAGATACAAAGGTAAATTTTAGCGTACATTAACAGCATATTCAAGTACATCCTATTCAGAAGTAACTTTTTCTGAAGTCAATGAGACTCCCATGTTAAGGGCAACTAGAGTTCTGCCTATATATAGTACGTTTCAAATATATTATGAAGTACAAGTATGTAATACCATTACATTAAATAATTGTAGATTAGGGGTGGTATTTGATGCCTGCATGATTCTCATATACAGAAAAGACAGCTGGACTTTTAAAAACTCTTGCTACTGTATAATTAGAGTTGAAAATCTTGCATGTTATCTCCCTGACAGAAAAGGACAATGGCCTTTTTCTTCTTTGACAAGCTTTTTATTACAGCTACTTGCCATTTTCTAAAAGCTTGAACTTTACCCTGGTGGACAATAGAGAGTGGCAATTATTGGTGGAAACACTAGTTTCTGGAGGAACATGTGTGTGATTCGACAATATATATTGAAGGAATAGCAGATCCACTGCTCATGGTGGGGCAGCTCTGTGAGCAGTACCTTGAAATATGGAGGACTTGCCCCTTTAAGGGAAAGGCTTAAAAGGCAACTCCTTCATCTTTATGACTGGGTGCCGTTTCCTTAGAGGCACTGGAAAGTTCACACACGTCTTTGTTTCTGTATTTACTGTATTTTTCCATGTATAAGACTATACATTTGTCTAAAATCTTTAGACTAAAAATTGAGGGTCGTCTTATACATAGAAGTAAGCTAAGGAGAGAGAAAACAAGTGGAGGGGAAAGCAAGGATCAAAGTGATCCTGCAGGGCTTTGATCCCTGTTTTCCCCTCCACTTGCTAAGCTTTAGCAAAATTAAAGCAGGGCTCAAAGCGCTGTGGGATGGCTTTGATCCTTGCTTTCCCCTCTGCTTACTAAGTCCCATGGGGCTTAGTAAAAGGAGGTGGAAAGGCTAAAAGCAATCCCATGGTGTTAAGGGGGCAAGGGATCAAAACGATCATGCAGTCATGGGATAATTTGATCCCTTTCCCCCTCCTTTTGCTAAGCCCTGTGGGGCTTAGCACGAAGGAAGAAAGCAGGGATCAAAGTGGTCCTGCAGTACTTTGATCCCTTTCCCCCTATACTTGCTAAGCCCCACTTAGATTTCTTAATTTGGGGTTAGAAAAGTGGGGGCATCTTATACATGGGGACGTCTTATACATGGAAAAATACGGTATATAGTGACTTTTTAAATTGTATTAAGTTACTCAGTAAAGACAAATTGTATGTCCCTACACTTTAAAAAGCAGAGGAATTTCAAAAAGAGAAGAAAGTTATTTAAAACAGCAAATTATGTGTGAATCATGCATCAGCACCCACAAAAACATGGGCACATTCTTGTATCTTAATTTCTGTCTCATGTAAATTACAGACACTGCCAATTACTCACTTCCATAAAAACCCAGCCAGTTTCATCTGACTGTACTTGCCATATTTAGCGATCCCACAGGTAATTAGCTAGACTAAGAGGAAGCCCCCCAAAAAACAAGCCAATCCTGTTGTTCTGTTCCTTGAACTGTTGGTTATGAAAATGTTGACAACCTTTGGCCAGACGTGAGTTAACAAATGCTGTTTTTCTACCATTTCCTGCAGGCTTCCCCCGCAGCATTAGCAAAAAGTGTTTTGGCCGAAGTTCCAAACCAAGTGGTGGACTATTACAATGGGAAAGCAATTAAGCCAAAATGTATGTCGGAGTACGAGTCTTCCAGGACACTAGCTCCCTGAACTTCCCTGGACGCTTTTACAGAGTTCAGAAATACTACTACTAACAACTCCTGTATTTAAATGAAAATAGCACGTTTTGGTGATTTTTAACTCTCTCTCTCTCTCTCTTGTTTTTGTTTTTTGTTTTGTTTTTTGGGGGGTTTTGCATGTGTAGCCTAAAGGCTTGCAGGTAACGTTTAAGCAACTATATTGTTGAAAACTTTTTATGAGAAAAAAAAACAAAATTGTAACTCTTTACATTACAGCATGTCGCCTTGAAATGAAAAGTTATCTGTATCTGTTTTTTATACAGGTTTGTTCAGATTTTGCTAAATTTCTTATTATCTTTACACTGTAAAGCATTTTGAAACATTTATTGGAAGTTGGTAGCCAAAATGTCTTTGGGTTTATCTGCTATGAATGAAAAGATTTTTTTTCAAAATGGCAGATGCATGGACTGTGTTTTGCATGTTCCAAAATAAAAACAACAGAGTTTTGCAGTTGTTGTGTTTTTTCTTGCCACAAAGCTGCCTGCTTAAATATTTTCCTCAGTGATTCCATTCTTCAAATAGCTCCTTTAAACAAATCACTCTAAACCTTTCTAGGAAATCATATTCTCAAAACATGAATCTACAATGCATATGTCAGGAACTTTTGGACTCTAAAACATTGGTTCATGCCCAAGCGAATGGACAATTCTGATCCACGAAAACTTGGATATTGTTCAATTTCTTTAGGTCTATAAAGGTAACACCTTCTCCTGCATTTGTATCCTGAGGAATTGTAACCAGTCAGTAGAGACCCTAAATTACAGAAACCAATGTCTGACCTAGCCTATGGCCACTTCCGATCTCCGGCAAGGACTTTTGAGTGAGACGGAAGCACAAGGAAACTCTGTCACACATGGCACGAGCAATCCCCAGCTGCAGTTCGCTAGACAGATTTAACATGAAAGACAATTGTGCAACTGAATGCAAGTAATGTATGAGATGATGTGAGACAGTGTATTCAAGGTTTAATGGACTGTGGCGCACAGGCTTTTAAAGTTAGATTTGAAATTCATTGTGCTGTATGGAGTGACTCAATTCAGTAAGGTATTAAAGGTCTGGCTGAAAAGAATTGTTAAATACCCAGACATAAGTCACAAAAGGATAGTGAGAGAGAGAGAGAGTTTCTGCTAGATTTCTTTCCCTCACTAAAGTTCCTGCTATATTTCTCTTTCACTTAAGACTGTTCTGCCATTAGACTGGCCAAGTCATATTTCTCCATACTTTTCAAGGTGTATCTATAATTCACTGCATAAATGGGCCTTTATAATATTGAATGTCCCCTGTTAGGGAATTTACATTGCCTTTTACCAATGAAATCAAATGTCTTTATTTTGCCAATCAAAAGCATGTCTCCCAGACTAACACTTTCAAATCTGGCTCAGGCCTATTTAGCAGATCTGGCTTAACTTACTGATAAATATACAGAATCTGTAAAGTGGATGGTGAATGAAAAAACGGAATCGGCACCAATGCTGCTGACATTCAACAGGGCGCAAATTAAACTAACGGCAACATCCACAGCCACCAAACTGAATTGAATTAAACTGATTTAGAAGTGTAGTATTTTAAAAAGCCCCTCCCAACCAGCTAGGAAAAAAAACATTGCTTTGTATCCCAAATAAATTGATTTCACCTGTTCATCATGTGCATAAGAATTTATAAATCAATTTAAGTAACGCTTAAATTGATTTAATGGTGGTTCTTATTGCTTAGTGGACCTGCAGTCTTTCTCAGTAGGTCAGACCTGGGGGGGGCAGGGAGGAGGCGTTGCAATAGTCAAACAAAATGCAATAACATTTACCAGGTGTTCTGTCTGACAGACTGTGAGGTTGAGTGCATGTACCTGAGTGAGTGCCTAGGACAGAATAAGGATTCTGTTGGTTCTGCCTGAGCTACTTTCAGGAGTTGCAGTCACCTTGGCAAGTTGTGCTGGGAGAACTCTCAACATGTATCAACATCTATTGTTGTAAGCCGCCCAGAGACCTTTGGGTAGAGTGGGCGGCATATAGGTTAGATAAATAAATAAATCTATGCGTAGACTAGTTTACGTATCAGGAGCAGCTCAAGACTTAATGTCTACTATGACGACCGTAGGGCTTTCCCAAGCGATACCTGGCCCCACTCATGTTGCAGAGCACACCCTTGACCTGGTTTTCTTTACTGGGCTTGATGGTGATGATCTGGGTGTACAGGAACTCTCAGTAGTTCCACTATGATGGACAGGTCACTACTTGGTTGGGTTTAGGCTTCTTGGAACTCTGAGCCTCTGTAGAGCTGGAGGGGGGGCAATTAGGAGACTAGTGGATTGAAATAGTTTCCCAGTGGCTCTTTCAGCGTTTCCTGCTTTCTTGGCAGGTGACCCTGTTGAGGCCTTGGATGCTCTCTGGAGCAGGCAAATGGCCAAAGCTAGTGACCTGATCACTCCTCAATGTTCCCTCCAATGAAGTGCAGTCAAACTGGTTTACTAGAGATGAGGAGCTGAAGATGATGAAATGAGTGGGACAGAGACTAGAACAACAATGGCTCCGATCAAACATGAGCTAGAGCTCTTTGGAAAGCCTACTCCACGGCAGTCGTGGCAGCAAAGAAGCTATTCTTGTCTGCCACCATTGCATCTTCACAGAGCCGTCAAGGGGAGCACTTTCAAGAAGGTGGTCAAGAGCCTGTTGCAAGAGAAGGAGGAGGACACTGACTACTCGACACATAGCACTTTGCAGAGAACGCAATTCAGATCCGCTCTAACTTAGATGCTGCAGTTGACACAGGTCCTGCTGGTATAATGTTAGCCCTTTCTTGTCCTGTTATAATGGAGATGTTTCACTTGGTGCAGCCTGATGGTTTGGACAGGATCTTTGGAGAGGTGACAGCACCTCATGTATGCTGGACCTCTGCCCATCGCTCTTGCGGGGGGGGGGGGAATCGTCTTGCAAAGCACGACCATAGAAAAAGCCATAGAAAAAGCCACAACAATCGCAAAATGCTTTGTCTTGCGAGTTCTTAATCTGGCGAGGCATTCGTCTTGCGAGGCACCACTGCAAACATCGCTGGTTTGAGGACAGTGGGAGTTGTTCATCCTTTAATTTTGTTAAATGGAAATAAAAGGCATTTGCCTCTTAGATGGACTATTTTTTCCTTCCAGTCAGTGCAATTATCACCAATGTAAAAATAAACAGTGAGAGCCTCCCCTCCCCACATGCACACCCTTCAGGGTGACTAGACAATACATCTTTCTAGTACAACTCCTAAAGCAAACTTGGTCCCACTCATTTCCTTAGGTCATATTTCTCAATACTTTTAGTTTTAGCTGCTACTTTTCACACTCTTCTCAGTCTTGTATTTAGGAAACAGCCTTGAAGATCGCCAAACTAAATTAGCTGAAAGCAAATGCCTTTTCTACTGGAAAAAGTATTAAATTAGCAACAGAGCATGAAAAAGGTTGCATCCTCATTTTGCCAGTCCTTCCACTTCACAAAGCACACAGAAGTGCCAAATAAATGTAATTACCGCTATAATCTTTTTGTTGCTTCTTTCCACCACCCTACCACTTCCCCCCCCATTTTAAAAAAAATGCTTAAAACTTTGAGATTTTTTTGCACCCAGAATAGAAAGAATATATATTTCGGATTTACCAAATAGCCATTCATTTTTTATTTGATTATATTTTGATCTTTAAAGGACTGCAATTCAACAGCCAGGAAAAGAAAGACTGGCATACTTTTAGTAATACAAAAGCCACAGAAGGGGAGCCTGACATGCAAACATCTCTCCTGTTATACTAGACAGACACAGAGACCTGCATTCATGTATCAAAATGTCATCTTAGAACAGGATGTCCATTTACATACAGTGGTGCCTCGCAAGACAAATTTAATTCATTCCACAGTTAATGTTGTCTTGCGAAATGCGTTTTCCCATAGGAATCCATTGAAATCTACTTAATGTGCTCCTATGGGCAAAAAAAGTCAGAACAAAGTCAAATTTGGTTTTAAAAGGGTTTAATAAGTGCTCTTTAAAGCCATACATGTTGTGCAGAGGATTTCAAAAATTTAAATCAAAGTACTTTTACTTTTTAAACATCATAGATAAACATTTAAAACTCGGCAAACGTGAGGCAGGAACATCTGCCCTCACTGAATCTGAACAGAAACAGTCACTAACAATCCTTGGATTGTGCAAAACTCTTCAGAAAGTGCATTTTCAAGGCATTTAAACATACAGAAACCAACAGTACCGAAACTTTTTACATTTCACATTTTAAAATGAACAAGTGAGGTTGAAGTCTCTAAACCACCAGTACCAGTGTTTTAAATCAGGAAACTGGAGGCAGACAGAACTGTCTCCACATCACAGCAGCAGTCTTTTACATTCCCAGAGCTGCAGAGGGTCTGTCTGGCAATGGCCCTAATGATGGTCAACTGGGAGAAGGCTTTAAGCCTTGACCTCAAGGCTTCTAGGAGGACAAGGGAGGAGGAAGAAGGCAACTGGGCACCGCTGGTAGAAGCAGCAGGTTCCTCTTCCTGTTTTGGCCTCTTTGTCGAGGAACCTCTCCATGGTCAGCTGCTTCTTCCACCTTTTCAGCATCCCTCTGAAAGGGGACATGATCCTTTCGTCATATGTGTTTGAAAGGTCATGTGCCAGAACCTTGTCTGGGTGGTACCACTGTGCTTGAGTCCACACATTTTGCCACTGTTCTAAGAGCTCCTTCACTTTAGTGGTGGACAGCTATTCCTCCCCAGCTCTTCTTCCTCTTCCAAAGTGGCCTGCTCCTCCGTCGCCTCTGCCTGCAGTTCGACCAGCTCCTGGGTGGACAGCCCCTGATTGTGGCACTCCACCAGGTCACAGATGTCCTCTGTGACCTCGAGACCCATGGTCCTCCCCAAGGTAACAATGTCCTCCATCACTGTTGACTCTGGTGCAAGCACAAAAACATTAGAGTCACTTGTTGCCACACAGTCTGGCCACAGGTTGCGCCAAGGAGAATTAAGATTTCTCTGGCTGATCCCATCCCAGGCTATGGTGATCAACTTCAAGCAGCTGACAATGTCAAAGTGGTCCCTCCAGAATTCATGCAGGGTGGGGTTTGTGCAATCAGTCACCTCGAAGCAGTGCCTGAAAAGCTCCTTGGTGTACCATTTCTTGAAACTGGCAATCACCTGCTGGTCCATTGCCTGGAGTACCGGGGTAGTGTTAGGTGGCAGGAACATGATTTTAATGAAGCTGAACTCCTCTAACAAGTCTTCCTCAAGGCCTGGAGGATGAGCAGGAGCACTGTCCATCAGGAGCAGGGCCTTCAGTGGCAGGTCATTGTCTAGCAGGTACTGCTTGACAGCAGGGCCAAAAGCCAGATTGACCACAAACAGGACACGTGCGACCCAAGCCTTAGCGTTGGATCACCACAACACACCCAGCTGGCCTTTGTTGACCTTGTGCTTC